GGGTATGGTTTTCTAATTATTCAAACATTTAAAGAGATGTTGATTCGCATACATCGGAATTTGTGAGAATATTGTTATCAGATGTAAATTGGATAGATGAGAACCATGAACACAAAGATGTTAAATTGAATAACTAATGTAAGCAATTGAAAAGAAAGGCATTTCCTTTATACAAGGATAAAAAACATGGGGATGTGAATTTAGACAGATATTAAGATGAGATAATTAATGAATCATGAATCATGAATCATGGAAAGCATTCCCATCTTATACAAAATTTTTTTAATTTTCGCGACTTTCGCGACATTCCGGAGAGGAAGGGTTGGAAGAGTTTAGTGAATGGATAATTGGATTGTAAGATAAGGTGATGTGTCAATTACAGGAATTTGGATCCCTGTGTCCATTAAAAGGAATTTGGAGGATTTCCACAGGAATGGATTCCATATGTTTTGAATTTTTGTTACACAAAAAATGGTAAATGTAGCTAATTAACTTAAATTTTAGTTCTACAACAATTATCATAATTAAAATTACGGAGCTGAATGCACCAATAGTGATGAGTTCCCAATGAGCTGTTATATGTGCTAGTTCCTTTTCTATTATTTCAGTAGTCTTTCCAATTTGTACTGTAAATTGCTCAATTAATTCTTCTCCTTGTTGATCTAATTCTGTCCAAAAAGACTCTGGGTTTGGTAGGTCAGTATTTAAGTTGATAATTTCATGTCTTTGAGCTAATATTTCTAATTCTGCATTAATTCTTTCAATTTCGAATTTGCTAACGATGCCTGCTTGGAATTCGACTTTCTTCCATTCAGACTTATTAACATTACAAGGAGCTATTAATAATTTATCGTTCACTCTTTTGGCTATAATATCACTTCTTTGTAGGAGTAATCTAGCTGTTAAAGTTGGGTTACTAATCGATAACCATTCTATTAGAAGTAATAAATTGTTTCTATTTTCACAACTTCGTCGTTGCATTTCTACTAACTGTTGTTTAAGTTGTAAGTTTATAACATCAAAAATGTATTAATATTTAATATTTGCGGGATCAAATTTACTTGACTTATTTCCTTCTTTGTTGGTTATTTCCTTCATAATTAACTGATCGTGGGAGTCTAGGTTCATTTCATTTTTTGATTGCCATTGATCGACTCCTTCATCGATGATTATGTCTCCATGCATAAGGTAAGGCTTGGAAAAGTT